ACTATTTTCTAACTACCAATTTGTGCTTCTTAATCACTTGACTTTTTTCACCATAACTCCCTGACCCCTCTCACATCTATCACCACAATAAATCTAGCACCCATTCCACATCATATATAGTTATTACGGTATTATTGACTATATTCTGTATGCTATATCTTACATCTCCAGGACTACTTTGTAACAACCAATTTGTACTTCTTAACCCTTTCCCCTTTTTTACCCACCACTCAATCCCCATCCCACCTGGTAACAATCAAAATATTCTCTGTATCTGAGTTTGTTTCTGTATTGTTTGTTTATTTTGTTGTTTAAACCCACATATAAACGAAATCACATTACATCTGGCTTTCTCTGTCTAACCTACTCCACTCAGGAAAATACCCTCCAGGTCCATCTATACCACCGCAAATGGCAAGAACCCATTCCCTTCCATGGCTGAGCAATATTCCATTGTATACATGTACCACCTCTTCTTTTTCCATTCATCCACCAATGGATACCCAGGCTGCCTCCACATCTTAGCCATTGTAAACAATGCTACAATGAACATATGGATGCATATGTCCCCTTAAAGTAGCATTTGGGGTTTCTTCAGATAAATACCCAAGAGTGGAGTTACTGGGCCCTTCTTTGTCTCTTCTTATAGCCTTTATTTTAAAGTCTATTTTATCTGGTATAAGTATTGCTACTCCAGCTTTTGGATTTTTGTTTGTTTCCACTTTCAAGAAATATCATTTTCCCATCCCTTTACTTTCAGTCTGTGTCTTTCCATCTGACGTGAATCTCTTGTAGACAGCATATGTAAGGGACTCATTTTCTTATCTATTCAGACACCCTATCTTTTTATTGAAGCGTTTAATCCATTTACAAAGTAATTGTTAAAGATCAAAACTATGAATAATAAAATGGCAATAACTACATGCCTATCTTTTTTTCATCTTAAAGAATTCCCTCTAAGATTCCTTGTAATACTGATCTAGTGGTGATGAGCTTCTTTAGCTTTTTCTTGTCTGGGAAACTCTTTATCTGTCCTTCGATTCTAAATGATAGCTTATCTGGGTAGTGTAACCTTGGCTGTAATTCCTTGCTTTTTATCACTTTGAATACTTCCTGCCTATCCCTTCTGGCCTGCAAAGTTTCTGTTGAGAAATCAGCTGACTGTCTTATGGGAGCTCCCTTGTAGGTAACTAACTGATTTCCTCTTGCTGCTTTTATAATTCTCTGCCTTTAAACTTTGTCATTTTAATTGTGATGTGTCTTGGTGTGAGCCTCTTTGGGTTCATCTTGTTTGGAATGCTGTGCTTCCTGGACTTGTCTGTCCATTTCCTTCACCTGGTTAGGGAAATTTTCCATCATTATTTCTTCAAATAGGTTTTCAGTTCCTTGCTCTCTCTTCTCCTTCTTGTACCCCTATAATGTGAATTGTCGGTTTGCTTGATGTTGTCTCAGAGGCCTCTTAAACTATACTCATTTTTTTTGGAGGGGGGGGTGGTTCTTTTTTCTTTTTGCTATTCTGATTGGGTATTTTCTGCTACCTTATCTCTCAAATCGCTGATTTGGTCTTCTGCTTCATCTAATCTATTCTTGATTCCCTCTAATGTGTTCTACATTTCAGTTATTGTATTCTTCAATTACGACTGGTTCTGTTTTATGTTGTTTATCCATTTTTATGATTCCTATCTCTTTGTTGAAGTTCTCCCTAAGATCATTGAGCATCCTTATAACCAGTGTTTGGAACTCTGCATCTGGTAGATTGCTTGTCTCCATTTTGTTTAGTTGTTTATGGAGCTTTGCTCTGTTCTTTTATTTGGGACATGTTTCTTGTTTCCTCATTTTGGCTGCCTCCTGTGTTTGTTTCTATGTAGTAAGTAGGACTACTATGTCTCCCAGCTTTTGTAGAGTGGTCTTACATAGTAGGTGTCCTGTGGGGCCCAGGAGCACAGTCTCTCTGGTCACCTGAGCTGATTTCTGCAGGTGTGTCCCTTGTGTGGGTTGTGTGTGCCCTTCTGTTGTAGTTGAGCTTTGGTTTCTGTTTGCCTGTCAATGCGTGGGATTGACCCTCAGGCTGACTGGTTGTGAAGACTGGCCATAACTACAGTGGAGGAGCTGTTGTGCAGGGGCTGACCCTATGGAGCAGGATTTGCCCTCGCAGGACTCTGGTGCCTACCCAGTCTGCCCTTTGGGTGTGTCATCCTTGGAGGCAGCCATATACATGCTCCAGCTCAATCTGAACCTGGCCACCAGGGATGACAGCCCCTAGCCCTCCTGGGAGTGGCCTCCTAACAGGTCAAGTTCAGCGGCAGCCTGTACCCTGCTCAGGGCAACCTGGCATGACCCACAAAGCATTCCACAGATGGCTGCCACCTGCACTGGTCTTGGAGATTCCTCGAGACGCCAAGCTGCAAACCGAGGCTGGCTGCCGTTATTGCCAGGCTTGGAGCTATTCAACAAAAGGTATAGGACATGCTGAAGCCAGATGCTGCTTGTTCGGGTTTTGTGAACCTTTGAGAGATTTTAGGAAATTCACAGCATTCCAAGACAGATCGTTTGTATGGAAAACCCCCTGGAAGCAGCGTGGGTGGGCCCATAAGTTGGGTACGGCAGATTCTCAGTGAATCACTTGTGTGGGGCAGATGAATGGTGTTACCCAGGTTGATGGAGGCTCAGATATAGCTGTTGCCTGTGTTTGCATGCTGGGACAAAGGAGGGCTCAACAAAGAAAATGGATTCTGCCAGCACTTCTATCTGGGAGGAAGCTGCCTCTCTGTCCCTCACACTGAAGCCATGTAATTCAGTTCCTCCCCATATGTCCCTGGAGCCTTTCAAGCTGTTGCCCCAGCCCTGCAGCTCAGAGCAAGTGAGTCCATCTGTAAGTAGGTCCATGTGCAGGCCCTTTAAGAGGAACACCTGGGACTCCAGCCACCCTCCGTCTTACTCAGCCACAATTTCCACTGCCTTTCACAGCTAGAAGTTATGGGGATTTCTCGTCCCCACACTGCAACTTTGGGCTGGGGAGCCCGGTGTGCAGCTGGGACCCCTCGCTCCTCTGGGGAGGACCTCTGCAGCCGAGATATCCTTCCCAATTTTTAACCATCACACATGGTGTTGGACCAGCCCATTCCACTTTCCTCATACCAGTCTTGAGATGGGTTCTTCTTTATGTCTTTAGTTGTAGGACTTTGGTTCCACTACACTTCTCAGGTGATTCTTGATGACAGTTCTATAGTTTAGTTGTAATTTTGAGGTGGTCATGAGAGGAGGCAAGCACAGCATTTACCTACACTGCGATCTTGGCCAGAAATCTGTTTATATTAATTGTTTTAAATACTAACTAGTTTAACATCTGTGTGAAACTCAATTTTCTCATCTGAAAAGTGGGACTACTGTCTCCTACCTTACAAGATTATTATGATGATTAACTGGGATACATAGCATATAAGGAAACAATCAAGACATATTACTACATTAGCTACTTCATGCTACCAAAATTCTCCCTCCAGCCACCTCCAGCTACCAACATTTTGTTGACCCCTTGAGTTCCTGCAGGGAACTCTAAAGTCACTGCAAAAGTGTTATTCTAGTGAAGAAAGAATAGATATTATAAACAGGTTACCAAGTTATAATTTCTCAAACATAGTATCCCCCAAATTCTATGCATTAGCTTAATGGCTCAGAAAAGTCAGTACAACTTCTAAATGCAGTACATTTAAAAGAAGACAGCATGGAACCATACATCTTTGAAAATTAGCCTTCCATGAAAGGGATTACTAGAAGATTTGCTTTTCCTTGATAAACTTGGTAGGCAGAACTTGGCCTAAGGTTACAAATTTTAAGAATATTTAATTGGACAGAACACCCTCCAAGTAGATAATGGAATGAAGNAACTGAATGCCTGACATAAAGGGCAATAGGAGAAAACACAAAAAAAATCTAAACAAAGGATTCTGGGGATTTTATTGCAAGTTCTCTCAGCTTACACATTTCAGTTGCTCCAGGGGCAACATTTCATTAACAGCACAATAAAATGACTAGTACTCTTAATGAGGAGCCTTCTTAATTTAATCATTCTCCATAAAACTATTTCTAAAATATACTGCACAATTTTCTCTCTTATTACACTCATACATATTACACCGATTCTAATATAACCTTTTTCTTTGTTTCCTGAGGTATTGCTGTAAAACAGCTAAAAGTGCTTAAATACTTTGAGAATAAAATTTATGGTCTCTTTACTCTGTAAAGTATATAGAAATTGTGTTCAATCTAATAAGTATGGCCTTCTTTGGGGATGGATCTCAGCATCAGTCTGGATTAATTCCTAGTGACAAACACTGACTAAATATAATACTAAGCACAATAATAAACATGTTTTGAGCTCTTTCTATGGTCCCAACTGGATCATGCTCTTTGCCTGTTTTATCTCATTTAATAGTCTCAATAATTTTTTATGATGTAACTACAATTATTCTCATTCTACAGTTGAGAAAACTGAAGCATACGGAGGTTAAGTAACCCAACCATGTTCTTAATGAAATGGGACAATAGTATGTATGTTGTGATCCCCTAATTCAGCATTACCAAGATAGTTGTGCAAAATAACAAGTGTTCTACAATAAAAAGTTTTCGACATCAAACACGTTTGGGGAACTTTGGGTTAGGTTCAATGGGTTTACCACAGGACTTCTCAGTGACTTTCATATCCTAAGGGGCACTAGGTCTTCAAGAAGGGTACATAAAACATAGCATACCATTCAGTATATCCCACAATTGTTTAATAATACACTCAATTTTCCTTAGAGAATCTTCAAAAACTTGTACTTCTTGAAGCAAACTGGGAGAAACACTTATTGACGGAAAGCACAATAATTATTATTTGTGACATCCTTTCATATAAATCTGATAATATAATGCCAAAATACACTATTTATAAAAATAACCCTACGTTTTTCCAAATATGGTACACATGGTGTTATGGATTGAACTTTGTCCCCCAAAAAGGATACATTGAAATCCTAACTCCCAGGCCTTCAGAATACCACCTTATTTGGAAATACGGTTGTTACCAGTGTAATTACTGAAGACATGGTCATACTGGAGAAGGGTAGGTCCTTATTCTGATATCACTGGTGACCCTTTAAGAAGAGGAGAGACAAAGGAAGGAGAATGCCATGTGAAGACGCACAGACACACAGGGAAAATACCATGTGATGACACAGGCAGAGATTGGAGTTGGGGAGCTGCAAGCCAAGCGATTCCAAGGATTGACAGCCACCACCAAAGCCACGGAGAAGTAAGACTACTACTCGGTGTCTCAGTGTCTACGAAGCCACCCAGTTTATAGTATTTTGTGACCGTAGCCCTAGAAAATGAATAGGCATGGGTTACAAGTCAAAACTCAGGTACCTTGAACCTGTGATAAAATCTAGACTACTTAAAGTAAATCACTGTGTCACAGCTAAACCAAGTAAATCCTTTGGAAAGAGACTTGAGAGCAGACATTCATGTGCTCAATTTAGAAGAAATCCACTTGTTTGTATTAAGTTTTTAAAGATTTTTATTAA